GTATAGCAGAAAATGAAAACAATTTACTGAATGCAGGAGAAGGAAAAGACCATAGAGTGGAACAGAGAAGCAGTCAATGGCTCTTCAAGGGTTTTCAATGTCCATGGAAAAGCATTAGAGAATCAAAGAATGTTTTGTRCTGGAAGGAATTTTTAAAAATGTTATGGGCCTTCCCTGTGACATTTGGAGGCACATCTGCYAGATTAGGTTTCACAAAGTTCTGTTCAATCTGACCTGGAACACTTTTAGTGGTGGGATATTGGCAACATCAAACAACCCACCCATCAAATCCATACCTCCCTAATTTCAGATCATAAGTGTTGTGAATATGTTTTGAGGTAAGAGTGCAAGTGCAAATTGCTCTGCAAGAAACTGAAGCAGAATAAAAGACTTAGGAGTAAGCAAAGCGAAAAATGCAGGAGTTTTTTTTTCTTGCCATAAGTTACTTTCATTTTCAGTATTTTTGTGTTCTTCATTTACAAAGTCTATTTGTTTCTGCCTCATCCACAGATCGGGAGAACCAGTCCATCCTGATCACGTAYGTACACCCCCTGCTCGGGTCCCTGTGGGGCTGCCTGGTGCCAGGGGAYCTCCTGCCTGACCACACRCTYTCTGCTTCTCTCTGGGCTTTGACAGCGGAGAATCCGGTGCYGGGAAGACTGTSAACACAAAGCGTGTCATCCAGTACTTTGCAACAATTGCAGCCAGTGGGGACAAGAAGAAGGAGGAGCAGACATCAGGCAAAATGCAGGTGAGGTCCCAGGGGYAGAAAGCTGCGACCATCAAATTTGTTGATGAGCWAGATCATGACAAGAAGYCTKCTGTTTTAGGGGACACTCGAGGATCAAATCATCAGTGCCAACCCACTGCTGGAGGCCTTTGGAAACGCCAAGACTGTGAGGAAYGACAACTCCTCACGTTTTGTAAGTTGCTRCTTGGGACAACTGTCAAARCCAATTTGAATATTCTTGCTGTCTGTGTTGGTAAAACARYTCTYAATTGACTTTCCTGCTGCTTTCAGGGTAAATTCATCAGAATCCATTTTGGTGCCACAGGCAAACTGGCTTCTGCTGACATTGAAACWTGTAAGACACCCTTCTGGCCTCGTCCCCTTCCTTCCAGCCTTCCCCACTTCTTGTRMTTGACTGTGTTCTACCATCCTTSCCAGATCTGCTGGAGAAGTCCAGAGTCACTTTCCAGCTCAAGGCGGAAAGAAGCTACCACATCTTTTATCAGATCATGTCCAACAAGAAGCCGGAGCTAATTGGTAGGAAAGATTACTAAYTCCTCCAGGCAAAGGTCATGSAACAACCCKGAATTCCTGCCCGTGYCCATTACMTCTGACCTGGATCGGCTTTGTCCTTCTTTTCAGAGATGTTACTGATCACCACCAACCCCTATGACTATCTGTACGTGAGTCAAGGGGAGATCACAGTTCCCAGCATTAATGACCAGGAAGAGCTGATGGCCACGGATGTAAGTAACAGAAGGTTTCTTAG